TTCCACCACAAGTTTAGTCCCACATATGAGAGCCATGGGGTTTGCAAGCCAGATGGATGCAGGTCCCTGAGGAGGATCCTCATCCTCTTGTCTCTGTCACCACGAGGAAGCGACTAAGCTCCTCTTTTGGTTTTTCTCTGTTACCATCTCCTTTTTTTTTCCCTGCTGCTTTTACACATGCATTATTCTTTGGTCATTAGGAATCACAGCTGGAAAGATTTGTATTTGACTTCCATTGGCCTGCATTTCTCTCTCCAGCGGGGGACACCTTCTGTAACCTCTGTTGCCTTGGGGACTGTGGCTTTCTAGTCTTTCTGAGCTAAAGCATATTTTGTGGTAGCACAATATGCCTCCAGCCACCTGGCAGCCAAAACAGCCTTCAGGGATGAGTCAGCAACTGCTCCTGGTGTGCAAGTATTTTTGTTTTCAGTGAATAAATAAAATCCCACAACTTATTGCAAATACTTGTATTAGTCATTAAAGGAAGAGTGATGTTTTTGTGTACACATACGCCATTATTCTTCTTTTGCTCTAATAGTGCCATTTATGGCCATATTTTAATCCTTCTAGTTAAGATGGGATCGGAATTTGACCGTTAACCATCTGGAAGCCATGAAGCAAAGTCAGAAGTTGCCCATAAGATCAAGAGGGTAGACAGGTGCACTGTTCGTTATATGTGATAGGAATGTACCAGACCCACATACGTCCTGTGCATGATGAGGGATATTAATGGCACAATGTATTGGGTGGAAAAGTGAATCCTATTCATCTGTTAAACATTTATGTTCAAAGATTCAAGGAGCTGTGTCAGAGTAACAACATTTTCTTTGAGGTCTGTTGCCTGTCCTGGTCTTCCCTTGATCACCCCATGCAAGGGCTTGTAGGAGTAGAAGGCTTTTCACATCTGGGGTGCTATTTGACTGATACATATCTGTATGCTTACAATGTAAAACATGTATTGGGAGTTAATTATGGGGAGGGAATAAATGTTGGGTCAATCATGTCCCTCTTTCATTTGCTTCCAGTAAAAGTCTTTGCTTTTTGTGTTTGTTTACCAGTATTCTGGCTTTTGGTTCAGCGCAGTTCACGGAATAGGCTTCACTAACGTACTATTGCTGCAGAGGACACTTTTCCTGTAAAATGGCCTTTCCTTGTGACTCATTGAAGCATTCATGCTAACGCCTCAGACAGACAGACTCTTAAGGATATCCCCTTTAAAAAGCAGCAGCTGCAATAGGAAATGGTTTTATGTGTTTCCAGCTTTGTGTTGACTTACTGTACTCACAAGTCTAGTCTTCTTTAGTTACAGCTAGTACAGAGGGCAAAAGGGGCTTTTTTTCCATCCTGGGATAGAAGTGTCAAAATGATCAGTGTGTTGCCACTGCATAGAGGTGGCGAAGTGTTCATCATCCCGGATACTTCTGTGCAGTAGCGACTCCTGGGATTGAATTGTTTTGATGAGAGACAAATCATCACAGTGAAGCATAGGAAAATTATAAACCTGTGTTACAATAGTTATGAGTCTTAGAAATCTGTAGGAATTTACTTGAAACATATCACATCTGAAAACATTAGATGCCAGATTCATGGAGCCACTCTCCTGGGTTTTCTGTCCTTCCTGGCAGCTAAATTATACCACACCAAAAAACCCTCAGTCTTGAAAAGTTTGAGTATTTTGGTCTTGGCAGAGGCTTGTGTAGGGAAAAGCTACTGAAAGTTGTGAAAAGGACATTTTTTTAGGCTAGGACAGTTTTTTCCATAAATTGTTTACTCTCTACTGCAAAGAGTGTCTGCCATTTCCATTCTGTGGCTCTTGTCCCATGCTGAATTAGAGCCATGGAAAGCAGATCAGCCCAGAAGTGAAGCCATAACTCTATAAACCTTGTTTGCTAGCCTTGCTACTGAAACAAGCAGTCCAGCTCACTCCTCTTTCTTTACAACCTCTTTACAACCTTTCTGTTGTGCTGGCACAAGCTTCAGCTTGACTACATGATGCCATGGATCATATGGGTTAGGATCCATAGTAAAGGCAACTTCTTTATCGGATTACTTCTGGCCTTGATCACTGTCCTGTGCTAGCTCACTTTTCTGCACTAGTATAGGAGATGACAGTGTGAGCAGTCTGCTTCAGTACACAAGCCAGTGAAAGTGTGTGTGGGATTACACCACCATGGAAGGAAATGCTGTCTGAGTACTGACCCATGGAAATACAAACCCTAGGTCTAGGAATAAAACCTGGAAAGCTGCCCTCAGCCTAGTGCTCTATTTTTTTCACAAAATTAATGGTGTCAGCGTCCTTCATAAAGGGATTTGAGATCCAGGAAACAAGGGTAAAATAATTCCTATTCTGCTCTTGCATGGAAATCACCTTAGTGATCACCTAGTGTCTTAGGCAAGTAATGGGAAACATTTTTAACTGGAAAAGGACAAAAATGCTGTACCAAAAATAATGGCTTCAAGAGGCAGTGAAACAAACACAATAGAATATAAAGTTAAAAAAAAAAAGAAAAAAGAATTTTTTCTCAGGATTTGTGATACCACTTCCCACTGGTTCTTTTGCAGGTCGTAACTTCCTAAAGTAGAGCTCTAAAACTCTTAGTTACAAAACCTAGTACCTTCCTGAAAATGACCCCCTCCTTCAAAAAAAATTCACTGAATGTGGCCTCCTTTACCTATCACTGCAAAGAACAAGTAATCGTTCTCTTGTGAGGTAACATGTAAAGCTTAAAGAGGAGACAGAATATTGAGGAACTTATTATGGTGTGTGAGAAGCACAAAGCTGCCTTCTACATGAAGCAGGACATTAATACAGGGAGTCTTACATGTGTTTGTCCTCCTGACAGTGTGGCACAGTCATTTCCCATACTAAGTCCCTGTAAGACACTTTACCCTCTTGGCTACCAGTAGAATAAAATAATCTGCCAAAGCAGATTGTCTAAAGAGCATCTATGGTATGCTTCTCCATGCTTTCCTATCATAGTTCCTTACAGGAGAAGACTGCAGAAGAAGGCATTGTGCTCACATGCCACTTCATTGAATGCTACCCAGAAATCTGTGTTTAACACAGAGTTAAACAGAACAGTCCACTTAATCTGTAATAGCTTGATAAAAACTTGGTATCTAGATGTCATCAAGACATTGTGGTCCCATGTGCATGTTCAAGCAGATTTGAGAATGTGGCTCTATGGAGGAGGATAAGAAGAATCTTTGGAGTTTGATGAGGAAAGACAAGCCTGGTCAGACTGAGAGGCGAGTAACAAAACAGAAAGCATCTTGCTTTTTGAGTCCAAAATAGGTTTTTGTAACCCAGCCCTAAGGGATAGTTTATAAAAGCTTGTTTTCACCTGTAAACCTAGCAATGTCTGCCTAGACAGTAACTACAGACTGAACCCAGGGCTGGTTACTTGAAAATAAATGATACTAGGCTCTTAGAGTCACTGTCCGTGGGTTATGCTCCAAGCACAATGGTGTTGAAATGCATAATGGTATCTGTGTGAACTCTTCTAAATTCAGAAGACAAATGTTAAGTGTTGAGGGTAAGAAGAATGATGCACTGCTAAGGTGCAAGCTGAACACACATTTTCTGATGCCAGTTTTGTGTGTACTTGTGGTTTAACTGGCGCTGAAATACAAACATAATTTAATGACTATCCGGAAGGGCTTTGAAGAGCTGTCTATTGACACATCTCCAATACACCAGCTCTGGGCGCAACTCACTCTTATTTGTGATTACATAAAGAATGCCTTGCAACTGGGTTGTTCTGCCCTGTTGGGCTAATCTGAGTTGAAACATCTTGTTCATATAATGTGCTTCAGTGCTTTTTTATGAACTCCTGTGTACTGAGGCAAAGTTGTTGGAAGTCAGTCTTCTATTTCCTTGTCTGCTGGGGATTGGGGCAGGGGGAGGGGGTAGATTGGGGCTGGTTTGTTTTGTTTTCCAGAAATGATCAGTCCTGCTTAGCAAATATGGAATTCTGGATGGGAAAACAAAGACTGACTTCTAATAGAGGGTTGGTTATTGAGGTGAAATAGTATCCCAGGCTGGGCAATGTAAAGAGAAACCCACCTGTTTGTATGAGATACCATTAAACTGAGGGAACGTGGGGGTATAATCAGAGCCACTTTTGCAGGGGTGATTACATATAACAAAAGAAGGAACAGTGTCCCTGCCCCAAAGCTCTGTTATAGAGTCTGGTGTCCCCCTGAAACTCAACTCCCATGTTTCTTCCTTGACAATGGGACCTGAAATAACCTCTTGGTTTTGGTTTTTTGTGTGTTTTCAAGTATGGTCTTGCTTAAGGTTTAATTGGCTCCAGTCAGTAGGAAAGGGCTCCAAGGCTGATTATTTATGGCTTACTGTCAAAAGTGGCTATAAAAAGGGCAGTATTATCTTGGAGATGCTGGGAAGGAAAATGTGGTGGGGGGAGGGTGGGGGAGTGTGTGTGTGCACGAATGTGTTTTCTTGTACTAGATGAAATCAGAGTTTTGCTGTCTCAGCAGTGTGGTTTAAATTGAAGATTAACCCTTTGACCTTCACGGTGTCAAATCACTTACAGATGGATCACCAGTTATATTTTTTTCTTTCTTTTTTTTTTTTTACTTTCAGGGTGAAGGGGGGCTTTTTTTTTTTTTTAAAAAAAAAAAGGTTGTTTGTTCATGCAGCTGGGGCTTTTGAAAGGCTCAGAAGCCAATCTGATTAAAAACAGCACTTGGCTAAACTCTGCAAAATCCTACAAGCACAAAAAAAAAGTTTAATCCTCTTGTGCACAATGCATAAAGGGTCTGCTCTTTTCTTTTTGTAATGTTAGAGCTACAATTATTTCTGGAGAACTTATCATTTCCCTCTCCCCCCTCATGCCTTGCTGCACCCCCTTGTTATGCTGATGGGATTAAAGTGTCTGCTCTTGAAAAGTGTAACTGAGTTGTTATTGGAAAAGAGAAGTGGTATGTTGCAATTTTAGAAATATAAATAACCTTGCTCCAACTGTTCTCCTCTACAGCATCAGCAGAACAGAAATCAAGTGTGGTGGCAGCTTTTTCTCTTCCTACACAACTTGGCCTTAAACGCAGAGGTGAACAGGAACCACACTGGGCAGAGGTGAGCTTCGCCTGCCTGTTTCAGGCCGCATCCAGTCTGCAGGGAGCACTGAACAAACACTGGTTCGGGGGCGAGACATTGCACACCGCCGGCCGGATGTGAGGACTCTGAATTTCTGACACTCGTCTTCAAGTTTGAGGGTTTTTACGGACTCTTCTTTGCCGCTGCCTGCCTCGTGAGGCAGGGAGCTCTTGTCCAACACTGTCGAAGGAAAGCCAGAATGTGGGTGTGTTTGGTAAAGCTTGCTGCTGGTTCCTCGCGCCAGTGACCTCTGTGCAAGGGAGGCAGGTATTAGACTAAGAGCTTCCTCTGCCCTGTGTGCTAGTCAGTGGTAGAGTGCAGGAGTGTCATTTTGGCTGCTAGTTAAAAATGATGCCTGGGATTGATGACTCTAAACATGCTTTGGGTATCTTCCAGAGCAGAGATGCTCGATTCCTCCTCAAAGAAAGTTCTTTTTAGTAATGAAAACATTCAAGTATCTTATACCCATCAAGTTACTTGTTTTCTGCATGGGTTACTGTTTATTTCCCTGCATGCTGTGTGAGAGAACATCAGAAAGAAATCTGATCTCTTCAGTCTTTCCACTGGGCACCAGTTGCAGTTTTCTCATATGAAGTTGTTCTTTGTCATTACCATCAATACAAAAAATCATTTCAGTAGAACAGTCTTAAAATTAAACCTTGCGGGGGTTGCTGGTGGCTATTAGTTTCTGCCACTGTTTTTTTCCAGTTCAGTGTTCACAGTGCCCATGAGCCAGCATAAAGCCAAAAACCGTAGAATATGGCACAAGCATCATTCTTCTACAATGCTAATGTATATGTTTTTATTAGTTTTATCATGGGTGTTTGTTTTGGTTTTCTTTTCTTGTACTATAATATGGTTGGTCAGGAAGGCTTAGGTCCCAGGCATCCGATAGTTTTGCTTCAGGATTTGACAGGGAAATTAATTAGCAACTAGTCTGACCTGTACACTGTATAAGCAGTCTGTCCATTACTCTAATGTGTAATGTTTGGAGGCTACTGTAAGCATATTTGACTAGCAGCAGTAGTATGACTTCAAGGGAGATCTTTTAACAGTTCCCAGTTTGTATCACTCAGAAGTTTGTCCACACGACTGGTACTATTGGACGAGCACAGGAAAATTACCCTACCAAAAGGAAGTAGCCTTAAATATCGATTGCTACTCTCTGTAGCCTTAACTATCATTAGTTCATAAACCCAGTGACAGCTAGGGTAAAACACAAACAGAAAGGCAATACAGACTGTATTTTCTTCAGACCATTTCCGCATTGCCACTGCACCTTGTTGTAGGCCTCAAATGATACCAGTATGAGGAAAAGCTGTCCAAAGAATTGCTCTTCAGTCCTGTTACAGATGTTGACTTCAGGTGTTGAGGAATTCAGCTCTTGGTCCACTCTGAAAATTAAGCATTACTGTACGGGAAGAGTAGTCTACTTGCACATATGCTTTCTCTTCTGCCCTTCTCTGCTTATCCTTCTCTAATTCATGCTTTCTCTGGTATTTGTATAATCTCATCATTGCACTGTAGTGTCTGGTAACAGTTTGCTGAACACAGTTAAATTTGGACTTTCTCCCTCTCTCCCAGCCCCATTCTCTTGGTTTGCATCCTGCTCTACTGTGGCAAAATGTGCTTTAGCTCCCTGAAAGAGGTCCCCACTCTTTTTTCACTTGCATGTATTTACACTCTCTTTTTCAGCATAAGGAGAGTTTATGTGAGCAAAGCTTTTTTTTTTCTCCTCTTATGTTATTTTTCTAGCTAGAGCTAGAGTAATATGTTTGTCCATGATGGTTAATAATTCGTATCAGTGAATCTCAAGTAATATTTTGGGGGGGTGGGTTTTATGAAGAGGGAGGGTGGGAGATTTATTTAGGAGGGGGGATTGGTTTCGGGTTTGTGTTGTTTAAGCATGTGCACTACAGAATTACCCAGAGGGATACACGTGATAGCTGTTGCTGACTGTGCTGCAGGAGTATGGAAAGCCACTCTCTATCCATGATGGCAGAGATGAGGCTTTCAATATCTTGCTTTGCACAGTCTGCTTGGAGTAACTGCTGGTCATTGGAGAACACAGACTTAAATGCGGGGTAAAGGGTGAGTGGTAGTGCAAGCAGAGACTGAATTGGTGATCTCTGGGAAGCTGGATGTTAAGAATACTCTTAAAAGCTCTTAAAGAGGCAGGAGTGGAAGTGCTAAGGCTCAGGAAGCAATGCAGCAGTGCTGCCTGCCCACAGGGCATGCCCTCGGATGTGATGTTTGTGTTTTCCCACTGGTTGCCAGAAGCCCTTCATCAGGAGCAAAGCTAGACCCTATACCAGTCTTCAATACCTAAAGGGTACTTACAAGAAAGCTGGAGAGGGACTTTATACAAGGGCATGTAGTGACAAGATAAGGGGGAACAGCTTTAAGCAGGCAGAAGGGATTTCTATTAGACATTAGGAAACAATTCTTCAGTATGAGGATGGTGAGGCACTGGAACAGGTTGCCCTGGTAAGCTGTGTCTACCCCATTCCTGGCAGTGTTCAAGGCCAGGCTGGATGGGGCTTTGAGCAACCTGGTCTAGTGGAAGATGTCCGTGCCCACCGCAGGGGGTTGAAAATAGATGATCTTTAATGTCCCTTCCATCCCAAAACATTGTATGAATCTATGATTCTGTGGTAATAGCCCTGCAAACTACAAAAAGTTCAGGAAGCGCATCTGATACTTAAAAAACATAGTGAACTTTCCCTTTCCCCTCTCCCTTGGCGTGACTGCAAAACAGGCCAGTGAGGCCTGTTCTCTGGATGTGTAAGCTCTAAAGATAGATCTGGTACTGGGACTTTCTGGTGTTGCGACCCAACCAGTTTATCTAGGGTAAGACTCTTCTTATCATGGAGAAACAAGTATCTGAGACCATTCCTCACTCAAGCTGCCTGCCTCAATAGAGTCAATGGGCTTTGGGAAAGACACATCTTTGCCAGTCTGTACTTCCCACTATAACAACAGACTTATCAAAATTGGTCATGCCAGGGTCTCAAGTTAAAATCTCCTTGAACAGTACTTCACTGGAGACATAGAGCTAATGCTAGACAAAGGCTGACTTCCTGCAATATGTGTGTTGGTTACCGGTGCCAGAGATTTACAACCACTGATAATATATTTTAATTATATTCGATATCTGCATATCTTGGAGAAAGGAAATATGCTCTGTCAACCCAAAAGTCTTATTTTGTTTCATGTAGATTTGGAGAGGCAGGGTGATTATTCACTTAGGGACAAGCAGCTATTTCATACTTACCTACTTGAGGAAATAGTGGTAAGATTTCACATGTTTATCAATGAATACACAGATGCACAGCACCCATGTATTTGTCACCCATTCCATGTTAGTAAGGCTCCTTGATCATGCACTCAGGAGATCTTTACTGCAGAGCAGCTGTTGCAGTGTGGCCACAGACATACATCAATTCTTTGGGGAAACAGTTCCAAGGAACATGCTTTAAGTCATGTTAGTGAAGGGGTATGGTGGGGTTTTTACATATTAGTTTGTCTTGGTGAAAGGAAGGGGATACTGTTTCTCTCTGTGTTATAAAACTACAGCCTAACAATTTGAAAGTCCGATCTTTCTCCTAAAATCGATTCCTATTTTTAAGGAGCAGTTCTGAAGAAGAGCTTGAGCTGCTGCTGATGGTACCAGCAGCCTTGAAGTATCTTGCTTGCTGTCCCCAGATCTCCAAAATACCTTCAGACCTCAGCTCTCTTCCCTAGGGGACGGAGTTCTTCCTGTCTCATCCTAACTTTCCACCCCTTTGAATATCTTGTAACCTGCCTATCCCTGGATCCAGCAAGCCTGGTGCTAGTAGGGAATAGTTAGTTTTATTTTTGTTTCCTGCAATTCTTGAAAGCTGAGCCAGTAATCACAAAGTGACTGCCCAGGGATAGCTGCAAACTGCCTTAAGTAAGATACAACAAAGGCAGGGGAGAGGATGAATTCAGATGGAAAGGGTTGCCTTTGGATCTGTGTGTGGGACTGCAGCCTACTCCCAAGGTGCTGATAATCCCTGGTAGCACTGAATTCCTGCATAACTGATCACATATCTCAGTTTAAATAGCTGGTTGTTTTTAAATGTTTGTTGGCAACTCTTGTTAGAGAAGTCCTGAAAGAAACTTAGCGGCCTTTGCTTCGGAGCTGCGTATCAACAAGAGAATAGAGGCAAGGAACACAGTCCTTCTTGATGTAGAAAGGGTGATTGCAAAGACTTTCTTTCTACTGGCCATTTACTTTGTCCTCTCAAGCCTGGGTAAACGTACAGGCAACGTGTGCATGTGAGGTTGCTATAGTCCTGGAGCTGCTCTATAGCAGTCACTGCAGGTGTACCCAAGGTTGAACTTCATTTAGTTTGGTGCTTGGCTCTTCTGGGAAACTGCAGATTCTGCCCATTAGTAGAGAAGGGAGAAAGGTTGGGGCTTTTTTAAGAAAAACAGGAGTACTTGGGGCAGCTATTGCAGTGTGACCCTATCATGGATTCCACCCTTCTGCTGCTGTTCCTGACCCATATCTCTGCTGAAGCAGAGGGAATGGTAAGACTGTGACATGCTGAATGGTGTGCTATTGATGATATTTTAAAAGGGAAAATAGGGAGAACACTCAGCATATGTGCTAGGAGCAAATGAGAATGCAGATACGTGGAGGTTTTACCAGTGGTATTTACTGCGGGATTATAAGGAATAAAAGGACCATGGAATGCCTATTCATACTTATGGGAGCTCTACACATGGACCAAGCACTATTGAGTATTAGCACAATTTGACAACAAAGGTTTTTAATAATGTCCTTCAAAAGAGTCTGTCTTTCAAACTGGCATTTGTGATCATGTGCAAAATTGCCTACCTGTTGCCTTTGATTGTTTTAGCAAGAAGAAATACCTCAAGGAACTGGTAAAAGGTCTGAGGACAATCTTTTACAGTTCCTAAAGACTTCAGTGGTCTCTGTTTCTTTGGTTTGCATGTGTTCACACAGGTGTTACACAGCTCAGTTCTTCTCCACCAGGAAAAGCAGAAAAGACCAAACACATCAAATGCACTGGAATGTAACTGTGTGTGCGTGTGTTTGTGTGTGTGTGTGTGTGTGTGTGCACGTGTGTGTATGTGTATTCTTAAACTGAATGCAGTCTGACATCCCCTACCCCTTCTTTCTTCCATGTGCCTCACCTTCCCCCTTAGCCACAGAAAGGAGGGTCTCTTCCTGTGAATCCCATGCTGGAAGTTGGTTTCTGGGAAGCAAAACCTAATGTCTGTGGGCTGGTTTTTAAAGCCATGTTTCAGTTCTGTCTTCAGACTCTTTGCTGCCTTTGGGGAATGGAGGGGTGGGAAGGGTAGATTCTTAAGCTGTTTTTAAAATCTATTATGGAAATTTTGCATGTATAAAGTTATTCTTAAATCTAAAGGAGTCTCCCCAATTTGTGGACACAGCTTCAGGAGAGCATCGCCACAGATTCCTCAGCTCTGTCTTTGATCAGACTATATTAAAAGTGAAAAAATGGATGACAAAAGGGGGAGAGACTGATGTGATGGAAAGACAACATTGTCAGTATCTCCTTAAATAAATGTCAGAAGTTAGGCTTGTAAAAGGGAAATTTCAAAACAGCCCAAGGGATTTGTATGTCTGTTTCCTATGGGTACATTTGAAATTCCTGCCACTAAATTTGGTCTTGGGCATCTGGACTGTTGGGGGTTTTTGGTAAAACTAGTCATGTATCTCTTCTGTTCTCTTCAATGGTTGGTAGTACAGTCTGCCATGTTTCTAGGTGAAATACACTGCTGAGAGTACTGTGAAATTGCATTCACATTTTCTCCCTCCCCTTCCTGCATAACTTTTCTACTTTTGTGGGATACCTTTTTTTTCTTTCCTTAAACTTCAGAGTCCTTCCTCTGGAATTCAAAAAGGGTGAGCTAGAATTTGCAATGTACTTAATAAACTCCCTCAGTGGAGGGTTTCCCCATGAATTCTGATATTCACCAGAATATGATACTGTCCTGCTGCAGAAGTAAACCCGATGCTCTCCTGTGAGGTTTCTGTCTGGATTAGTCCTGAAGTGCACACACCTTCTTTGCCATGGACTGAGACCCAGTGAGAATGTAGCATTTTGTTTATCCTGGTTGTGTGCCTCCAGGACTCCTGCCTGTACCAATGGTGACTGGACAGAGCTCCTTTTGGTTTTGTATCTGTGCAGTATATTTGCTTTGTGCTTTCTTTCTTTGGTGCTTTTTAATACTGTAATACTAATTTTTTTTCTAATAACTGGTACAATTTTTAATAAAATTGTTAAATTCTTTTTCTGTGTTCTTGGCTTTATTTTTTAAGGGATGGAGGGCATTTACACAACTAGCCTGTTCTGAAGTTACCCAAATCAGTGATAAAATTAGGGCTGTTCAGCTTTGAAAATACCTGGTAGATCCTTTCATGTGCACCCTCATACCAGGCCCTGCAACAAAGACAAGATTTTATTTCTGGATTGGACTGCTCTCCTTGTGAATAATTTAATTTATAAAGTAGTCTTTGAAGGAGGTATATTCCCATGCTTGGAGAGAGAACTGCTGCTACTTGGAGCTGCACGGTTAACTTTTCTGCTTCAAATCAGGAAGACCTCTTAAGACATATGTGGGATGCATCCTCCAAATTTGCAGAGTGTAACCTTTGATTGATGGCTGTTTACCTGCTGTCTACACAAGTGCATCAAAGGCATTCAGGCCTTGAGAATAAAGACTCATTGCTTGGAAATCCTACCAGGGAAATATGGTTCTTGCTGGCCTTCTGACGTAAAGGCAGGGGAGGAAGGTGGCTATGGCTTTGA